GGAAGGCTCTTGGGACCCTCTTGGGCCTTCGTAGGAGCCTCGAGAAAGCCTCTAGGGAGGTCCAAGGAGCCTCGCGTGTCCTCTCACCTTCCTCTTTGGACGGAGAGCGCTAATTTTCGCGCTCGGAGGCTGCGATCCTCGTGAGGGGTCCCGTTTCCGGAAGTCCCGGTTGGGGAGGATCCTATTTCGGGGGGGGGGGTCCCACCCCCCAGGATTATAAAAATATAGAAAAGGGAATATTTATTTATATATATATATATATGTATATATATACACATCTATATATACATACACAATACATGAGGGATCGTTTCGCTTCGCCTCAAAGCTGTGCCTTGCGTCCAGGCGTTGTTTGGGGACTGGCAAAGAACTTCTCGGAGTTGGAAAGTATGACCAGGAGGCGGGTGCGGGTCATGGGACGGATAGAGCCTATAAACATGTTCGCGCATTGGGGGGAAATCATGGTTGCGACGGGAGCGGAGGTGATGACCTCGATGCCTGGGTGAGCCGTGACCCCAACAGGGGTGACGATTCTGAATTCCAGGGTGTGTACGCCACGGCCGCCAGCGGGGCGAAAGTCATGGCAGCGCGGGGCCTGGGCAATGGCCTCGAAGCCGTTGACCAAGAACAACAACCGATGAGATGACCGCGAATGGGGTGAAGGTTATGATCCAGGAGGGGCTCCAGTCATGACATTGATGGAGGTGGAATGGCTCGGGCATGGGGCTCAAATCGTGATCGGGACAAGGCTGTCGATTAACGCGGGGCGGGGGTGGGTCACGGTGATGATCATGAGGGGGGGAGTCGGAGAGTCATAACCGTGAGTGGAGTATTAGTCATGATGCCAAGGGGGGGCAAATGCAACTGCACTGCGAGAGGGGTGAGCGTGATGACCGCGAGGGGGGTCAAGGTCATGTCCGCTGAGCTATCCACAGGTTGCAGAAAGAACGGTTGGGCAGGCAAACGAAGTGAGGATTATTCACACTCTCTCTCTATACACATGTATGGATAGAGTGAGCGGCCTATCAAACGTCCCTCGAAAGAACAGGAAAACGCACGGGTCCCTCATGAGCCCTCGTTCTCCCGTCTTCAACGTCACCTCCCCCTCCAGAGTCTCCAAACGAAATCGTACTGAGCATTACTGAGCTTGACCCTATAAGCACAAGTCGATGTCTTTCTCGATGGCGTCTACGTGGACGGTCTCTGTCAGATGATCCCACCTCCTAAAATCAAATGCTTTGCTCAAATCTTGGTGGCTAATGGCAGAGCAGCAGCCTGCCTTGCGAAGGCGCCAGCCGAGGAGTCGGTTCAGGAAAGCCGCATCCTCTCTCCTTGTGCCTGGGAGCAGGAGGACGTGATGCCTCGTTGAAGGCGGCTCGGGAGATTGTTGATGGCCGTCTGGAAATTTCTTGAAGCTCTCGGGAGCCGCTCGAGGGTTTCTTGGATACCTCTGAGGGGACATTAGGGGCAACATTGGGGGACTGGCGGAGACCACTGGGGCGTCTTGGAGGCCGCGTGCATCGTCCCCAGGGCCGTCTTGCAGTCCCCTGCGGCAGTCTTGGGAGCCCCCCTGGGCGTTTGTGGGCCTCCCTGGATGTCGTCCTGCGGCGCTTTGGGGCGTCTGGGGGCCCTCTTCGGGCAGTCTCGGGGCCGTTTGGGAGTCCTCTTCGCCCGTCCGGGGGCGATCTAGGAAGCCTCTGGGTTCGTTGTGGGCCACAAGACGCTGGAAATGGGGAGAGCCCCCAAATCCTCCAAAAGCCGAGAGGACATCAAGGTCTTTGCCCCTGGCAGCCCTCTTGGGGGTCTTCTGGGGGCCTTCTTGGGAGCCTGTCGGGTTGTGTTGTGGACATCTCGGGGCCATTTGGAAGCAGCCCCCAGGCTCTATTGCACGCCCTCCTGGGCGTCGTCTGGTGCCGTCTTTGGGGCCTGTTGGCTCGTGCCGTGGCCATCTCGGGGCCACTCGGAGCCAGTCCCCGGGCTCCGTTATCCATCTTGCCATTCGCTGCGAAGCCCCTGGGGCCTCCGCGCCGTCTAGAAGAGTGCGGGGCGGCTACCCGGGGAGGCCTGGGGCGGGCGGCTACCCAGGGAGGCCGCCGTAAGGGTGCCCCGGGGCGGAGGGCGGGCCGTACCTCCTCTGCCACACAAGTCGCTGAGGGGAATAATTTGGATACCGTGCTGGCATGACCGGAGCCCTCGGTAGGAGTGGAGATGAGAGGGGAGGACGCCCGAAGGAGCGGTGTGGGAGGGAGGGGGCCACCTCGCAGGGGTGCTGGCCGATCGCCGCGACGTCGGACGGGAAGCACCTGCGGGGCGGGGCGGGGGAGGGGGAGGAAGGAGGAGGAGGAGGAGGAGGAGGAGGACGAGGAGGAAGAGGATGAGGAGGAGGAGAAGGAGATGGAGGAGGAGAAGGTGGGCCAGTGGAAACCCCAGAATCATCAACGATGTTGGAGTAAACCCTCCCTCCAAGCTCCCTCTTCATAGGCCCCTACAACGGTTCATTTCCATTGAGGGAACTGCCTCGTTGGAAGACAACCGTTTGAAGACCCTGAAGCATGCCAAAGCATTGCTCTCGGCATTCCATCGCCGCGGGATCCTGCCAGAACGCCATCCCTAGGACTTCAGCACACATGCAACATAACTGTTGCGCCCGTATAATCCTGAACCTTTCCAAAACACCATGTCTGGTACGTTGGTGATGGGAATCCGTGAAACCCTTGTACACTTTTCAAACGAATGTGCGCGGCGCTCAAGCGAGAACCACATTTTGAAAACGACCCGCCCTCAATCCGTGAAGCTCTTGCACATGTTATAAACACATGTGCGCCGCGTTGAAGCGAAAACCACGTTTTGAAAAAGAGCCGCCCTCATTCCGTGAAGCTCTTGCAACTTTTTAAGCCGAATGTGCGCCGCGCTAAAGCGAGAGCCACATTTTGAAAAGGAACCGCCCTCAATCATTGAAACTCTTGTACATGTTTTAGACGAGTGTGCGCCGCGCTGAAGCGATAGCCACATTTTGATAACGACCCGCCCTCAATCTGCGAAGCTCTTGCACATGTTTTAAACGAATGTGCGCCGCGCTAAGGCGAGAGCCACATTTTGAAAACGACCCGCCCTAAATCCGCGAAGCTCTTGCACATTAAAAAAAAACGAGTGTGCGTCGCGCTAATGCGAGAGCCACATTTGAAAACGACCCGCCCTCCTTCTGCGAAGCTGTTGCCAATTTTCGAATTTCAGAATCATAGATGGTGAGGAAATCTCGGGCGAAACGCCAGGACCGTCCTAAAAACTGGCCTCGGGGTGCGACAGGGAGAAATGAGTATCAGACCAACCGGTATGATCTCGCACTGCACTATTTCGACCGACCGTGCCTGGAATGTGCTGGACGTGCCCTGGGATGTGCGAAGAGACGTGTCCAGATCTCTGAACGCCGGGGTGTGTCCTGTCTCCGCCTGCTGGAAGGAACGCCTGGAATGTGCTGGACTGGAGTGCGTGCCTGGACTGTGCTGGCCCCCTCCCCTCTGCCCGTCCCGTGCCCCCCCCGTCTTATTCCGACCGACCGTGCCCCCCTCCTCTCCCTGCCCTCCGCCCCCCTTTTCCCTCCCCTTTTCCCTTCCCCTCGCCTCTCCTGGCTTATTCCGACCGGCCGTGCCCCCTCTCCTCTCCCTGCCCCGTGCCTTCTCCTCGTCTCCTGTGGCCCTTTCGCCTTCCCTCCCCCCTCGCCCCCCTTCCTTCTTCCGACCGGCCGTGCCCCCGCCCCCCCGTCCTCCGTGCCCCCCCCCCCGGCTTTTTCCGATCGACGGTGCCCCCTCCCCTCTGCTTGTCCCGTGCCCCCCCTGTCCTAATCCGACCGACCGTGCTACCCCTCCTGTCCTTATCCTACGCCCCCTCCCCCCATTCCCTCCCCCCTCGCCCCCACCCTCGCTTATTCCGACCGACCGTGCCCCCTGCCCTCTCCCTGTCCCGTGCCCTCTACCCATCCCGTGGCCTGCCCCCCCCCCTCCTCCTGGCTTATTCCGACAGACCGTGCCCCCCTCCCCTCTGCCTGTCCTCCGCCTCCTCCCCTCCCCATTGCCCCACCCCCTCGCCCCCCCTGGCTTATTCCGACCGACCGTGCCCGCTCCCCTCTCCCCGTCCCGTGCCCTCTCCCCGTCCCGTGGCCTTTTTTCCCTCCCCCCACGAGGCCCCCCCTAGCTTCTGCCGTAGGCCACTCGGAGGGCCCCACGAGGCTGCGAGCCGAGCGGAGGCGCAGCCAATCCACGTGGCGCTTGCCTCGGCCTGCGACTGCCGGAGCCCAGGAACCCGCGGCTCCCGCGCTCCACAGGCGCAGCAGCCCCGGGGGGCCGGCGCCAGGCGTCGGGAGCGCGGCGTCGAGCTGCGAGGCCCGCCCCGCCAAAGACGCACCGCGGAACTGCGCGGCCAAGTGCAGCCCGTGGGGGCCAGGCGTCCCAGAGGTCTCGACCTCGAAGACGGCGGCGCCGTCGACCTGGCCAGCAGCGTCGTGGGTCGGCGTCTCCAGCACCATCCCTCAGGTGAAGGCGCCGCCGACCAGGTCGGCCCCGCTGAGCCACGGCCCGTCCACGAAGGCCGAGAGGGGCGCCCGTGGCTGGACCGCAGCTCCGCCAGCAGCACCGTGTCCAGCGGTCTGCCATACTCCCGCAGCCCCCGTGCCTGCAGCAGGTGGGCCAGCCGCGAACGCGGACGCGCCGACGAGCGCGACTCTGACTCCAGGAGGGCCTCCGCCCGCTGCAGCGCCAGCCGCTCCAGGTGGCCCCAGCGCCGCCAGCCCCACGCCGCCTGGAGCTCCGAGACCAAGGACGGGCGCGCCGGGCAGCACGGGCGCGCCGCCTGGGGCACCGCCTCCACCCCCGAGCGGAGCGACAGGAGGAAAGGCGGGCGGGGCCCCAGCCACAGGCCCAGCGCCAGCCCCTCGGCCTCGGCCCCGCGCGCGGCCAGCAGCTGCGCCGCGCCCGCGGGCCACGGCCATGGCGAGCCCCTTCGCCTCAGCCTTTGCCTTTGCCTTTCCCTAGGCCTTGGGGGGCATCGAACAGCCCAGCCAGCGCCGCGAGCACCGCCGTGAGGTACCGCGCCTGCTCCAGCAGCACCGACCGCTCGCGCGGCGTGAGTCGCGCCTGCCAGGCGCGCTGCCTGGCCAGCGCGAGGAGGTGGCACAGCTCGCAAACTTCCAGGAGCTGGCCCTCGTGCGCCAGGGCCAAACTCTCGGCGTCGCCCAGCCGCCCGCCGCACCACGAGCGATATCGCCGAGGGGGTGGGTCGGGCGGCGGTGGGGGACTCGTGGCAGGACGGTTCGGCGTCCCCCAGGCCGGCGCCTCCCTGCTCATGCCCTCGAGGGCAAGGTCGTTACTCGAAGGCGAAAGCCCGAGCCACAACAGCGACTGCCATGCATTCTGTTTGCGGCCATGTCTCGACTTCTATGCCCCGCCCATACATCTGCCGCAAGTGTTTGTCAGAGTGAGGGAGCCGAGCGGTCATTCATTGTCCCTGGGTGCGTGGCTGAAGTGTCGATCCGTGGTGAGGATTATGCTTGTTGCGTTGTTGAGTCCTCACTTCAACAAGAATAATTATTGTTGATCTCCGGAAACGGTTCCGCGCGCTCTCGCTTCGACGTCAACGACATTTTCTCTGAAAACGAGGCTTTCGCTCGAGCGTTAGCTTGAACCTAAATGTGGGCCCCTGGAGGCCTAGCTGCGACAACAACGGCTCCCGCTGGATACTTCCTCACAATTTACCCCGAGACACCCTGTCCAAAGAGGCCCCCTAACTCAGGAAAGGCACTCTCGCTCGAGACTTTCTCGCAATTCAATTAAGTTGGCGGAGGCCCAACTACCTCGACAAGGGCTCCCGCTCGATGCTTCCTCACGGTTTACTCCGAGAACCACTGGCCAAGAAGGCACCCGAACTCAGGAACGGCGCTCTCGCTCGAGACTTTCCCGTAATTCAGGCAAGTTGGTGGAAGCCCGGACACTGCGACAAAGGCTCCCGTTTGATATTTGTCCACAGGTCAAAATGAAAGTGCGGAACGGTCATTCATTGTCCCTGGGTGCGTGGCTGAATAGGGAATTTGTGGTGAGAATTCTGTTTGTTGTTGTTGCTGCTGTTGTTGAATGTTAGTTACTAAACAATCATTCCCTTGCACAGGGTGTCTAGAGCACCGACCACTTGATTCCGCGTCGCACACCTCCACCCCCCCCGCGTCCCCAGCGCCAGAGTGGGACCCCCGCGCCGTGGCTCTCTGCCCCGAGCCCCCCCGCATCCCCAGCGCCCCAGCGGGAACCCCGCCCACTGCCCCCTCCGTCACGAACGCTTTATTCCGCGTCGCACTCTCCCCTCCCTCCCCGCGTTCCCAGCGCCAGAGTGGGACCCCCGCGCCGTGGCTCTCTGCCCCGAGCCCCCCCGTGTCCCCAGCGCCCCAGCAGGAACCCCGCCCACTGCCCCCTCCGCCACGAACGCTTTATTCCGCGTCGCACACCCCCACCCCACGTGTCCCCAGCGCCAGAGTGGGACCCCCGCGCCGTGGCTCTCTGCCCCGAGCCCCCCGCGTCCTCATCGCCCCAGCGGGAGCCCCGCCCACTGCCCCCTCCGCCACGAACGCTCTTTTCCGCGTCGCGACGCACATCATCTCCCCCACCTCCCTCCCCGCGTCCCAAGCGCCCCAGTGGGGGCTTCGCCCCGTCCCCCTCCGCCCCGATAATTTTATTTCGCGTCGCGACGCACACCACCTCCCCCCCTCCCCCTCGCGTCCCCGGCGCCAGAGTGGAACCCCCGCGCCGTGGCTCTCTGCCCCAAGCCCCGCCCAGTGCCCCCTCCGCCCCGACCATTTTATTCCGCGTCGCGACGCACACCACCTCCCCCCCTCCCCCTCGCGTCCCCAGCGCCAGAGTGGAACCCCCGCGCCGTGGCTCTCTGCCCCAAGCCCCGCCAGTGCCCCCTCCGCCCACCATTTTATTCCGCGTCGCGACGCAGTGCCACCGCCCCAAGCGTCCGAGTCCCCCCTCGCGCCCCAGCGCCAGAGTGGAACCCCCGCGCGTGGCTCTCTGCCCCAAGCCCCGCCCAGTGCCCCTCCGCCCGACCATTTTATTCCGCGTCGCGACGCACCCACCTCCCCCCCCCCCTCGCGTCCCCAGCGCCAGAGTGGAACCCCCGCGCCGTGGCTCTCTGCCCCAAGCCCCGCCCAGTGCCCCCTCCGCCCCGACCATTTTATTCCGCGTCGCGACGCACACCACCTCCCCCCCTCCCCCTCGCGTCCCCAGCGCCAGAGTGGAACCCCCGCGCCGTGGCTCTCTGCCCCAAGCCCCGCCCAGTGCCCCCTCCGCCCCGACCATTTTATTCCGCGTCGCGACGCACACCACCTCCCCCCCTCCCCCTCGCGTCCCCAGCGCCAGAGTGGAACCCCCGCGCCGTGGCTCTCTGCCCCAAGCCCCGCCCAGTGCCCCCTCCGCCCCGACCATTTTATTCCGCGTCGCGACGCACACCACCTCCCCCCCCTCCCCCCAGCGCCCCAGTGGAACCCCCGCCCGTGGCTCTCTGCCCCAAGCCCCGCCCAGTGCCCCCTCCGCCCCGACCATTTTATTCCGCGTCGCGACGCACACCACCTCCCCCCCCTCCTCTCCGCGCCCCAGCGCCCCAGCGGGACCTCGGCCCCGTGCCCCCTCCGCCCCGACCATTTTATTCCGCGTCGCGACGCACATCACCTCCCCCACTCCCCACCTGGGATTTGGGCCCCGTGGCTGGGCTCCGAGGGGCGATGTCTTGCCCCCTCTCCCCTCCTCCTCCTCCTCCTCCTCCTCCTCCTCCTCCTCCGCCTCCTCCTCCTCCTCCTCCTCCTCCTCCTCCTCCTCCTCCTCCTCCTCCTCCTCCTCCCCCTTCCTTTGTGCAAGAACCATGGCACACGTGCCACTTGTTAGTGTTGGAGCCCTTGCAAGCGCCCTGGCGCTCTCGTCGAGGCGCCGGCTACATTTTCACTGAAAGTGAGGCTCACGCTCGAGCGGCTCGGGGGACCGCCAAAACCGGCCCCCAACAATAACAACGCTCCCGCTTGAGACTTCCTCCTTTTTTGCTCAGGGCTGGTGTTCTTGCTCGCCGCCGAAAGCCGCCGTCCTGACAAAACCAGCGCTCCCGATCGAGACTCCTTCCGATTTTACCTTGGACTGACGCGCTAGTCTTTCTCTCATCGGCGCCGCCCTCAGCAAAAACAACGCTCCCGCTCGAGGCTTCCTCCCTTTTTTACTCAAGGCTGTGCTCCTCCTCGCCGCCGAAAACCGCCGCCCCAACAAAACCAGCGCTCCCGCCCGAGATTTCCTTCCATTTTACGCTGGACTGGCGCCCTACTCTCTTTTGAATTGGCGCCGCTCCCAGCAAGAACAACGCTCCCGCTCGAGGCTTCCTCTCTTTTTCCTGAAGACGGTGCTGTTCCTTGCCGCCGACAACCCCCGCCCCGACAAAACCACGCCTCCCGGTCGATGCTTCCTCCCTTCTTACTCAAGGCGGTGTTCCTCCTCGCCGCCGAAAGCCGCCGCCCCGACAAAACCAGCGCTCCCGCCCGAGATGTCCTTCCGTTTTACGCTGGTGTGGCGCCCGATTCTGTTTTGAATTGCAAGAACAACGCTCCCGCTCGAGATGTCCTTTCTTTTTCCTCGGGACGGTGCTGTTCCTCGCCGCCGACAGCCCTCGTCCCGACAAAACCACGGCTACCGCTCGATGTTTCCTCATTTCTTACTCAAGGCGGTGTTCCTCCTCGCCGCCGAAAGCCGCCGTCCCAACAAAACCAGCGTTCCCGCTCGAGATTTCGTTTTGTTTTACGCTGGACTAGCGCCCTACTCTCTTCAGCATTGGCGCCGCTCCCAGCAACAACAGCAGCCCTGCTCGAGACGTCCTCCCTTTCTATTCAGGGCCAGGTCCTAGGCTCACCGCCGACAGCCCCCATCCCCACCAAGGCAATCCTGTCGTTCGATACTTCCTTGTGCTTTACCCTTCGCTGGGGTTCCACTGGTGGTCTCGCATCGGCGCAGCAAGGCGCGGGCATGTGCTTTCGAGGCGGGATAGGTTGAAATTCATCGGAGGAAGTGTTTGCAAGACCTCATTGGGCGGGAGATCTGGGAATGGGAATAGCGGACCCCGCTATAGAACAAGAGTCCTCCATGATGTGGATGGTTATCATGATGGTCGCATGCTTTGTGCGAAACCATCGCGCATGAGGGTAACATGATTGTTGTTCTTGTTGTTGTTTGTTGTCGTCGCCCCACCCGCGACCCAACCCGCGACCCACCCCGCGACCCACTCCGCGACCCACTCGCGACCCACCCCGTGACTCATCCGCGACCCACCCGCGACCCACCCGCGATCCATCCCGCGACCCACCCCGCGACCCACCCCGCGACCTACCCCGCGACCCGCCCCGCGACCCACCCGCGACCCAACCCGCGACCCACCCCGCGACCCACCCCGCGACTCATCCGCAACGCACCCGCGACCCACCCGCGATCGCGACCCACCCGCGACCCACCTCGCGACCCACCCTCAAGAGAAGAAAAACAACCCGGACCCGACAATTTACGTTTACTTAACGGCCCTGGGCGTGTACCGAACAGCCCTGCCCTGTTCGATTCATCCCTTGTGTGCGTTTACTAAACGGCTTCGCTTGTCGGGGTGATTACTACGGGTGGGTCTTCAGCCCTCTACACCCGCGACCCACCCGCGACCTACCCACATTGGTTTAACGAAAAAATCTGCGCCTGCGGCGGGCTGGCTGTACAATTTGTGGAACTTTGGCGCCTGCGGCGGGCTTCCCCGGAGTCTCGCAAACTGCCGACGTCCCCACCGCCCCCTCACTCTTATCAGCATCTGTGGGGTGCTACGTATTCCGAGGGCCCTTGGCCAGAGAGGCCCCCGAACTCAGGAACGGCGCTCTCGCTCGAGACTTCTTCGCACTTCAGTCAGTGGCCGACATGGAAAGATTGCCCCAAGAAGGGGGTGCAATCGAAGACGAAGTGGGCGGGTATCGACGGTTAGGGTATACGGAACGTAAGACACGCGTGCCAGTAAGAGAGAGCAGTCTTAAAATGATTGTTGTTGTTGTTGCTGTTGTTGTTGCTGTTGTTGTTGAAGTTTCATTCATGACAAATAATTATTGTTGATCTCCCCCACCGATGCATACAGTTTTTCTCAATCAAAGTGTGCCGTCGACGTTCGCACCCTGTAGTTTGACAGAGAAGCTCACGAAGCTCAAACGATGCCCCCGGCCCCCGGGTTAAAATAACAACGGCTCCCGCCTGAGATTTCCTCACAATTTAGCAAGGGCCCCCGCTCCCGCCCGAGACTTCAT